GTAAGGTCTGGCTGGAACATGATGCAGGCAGTTAGAAGTGCAGTTTGTGTGACAGGCCCTTGTGTAAAAATAGCTGCTAGAGTTTTGTTTTGTTTTGTTTTGTTTTTAATTCGAGCCACCAGGAGCTCTTCTTGGTAGGTATCTTCCTCCTCAAGGCCCGCAGGGCAGAGGCCATATTCACAGACAAGGTAAGGAAAAGCCTGAGACAGCTCTGGGAAGGGTAAGGAGAATACTGGAGGAACCAACGGCACTGGCTGGGTCTCAGGGCTAGGTTTTTTAAAGTTCCAGTACTGAGGAGAGCCAGGCAGAATGGGAACTATGGTGATCTATGCGGCCTGGTTCTTCATAACCTCTCTGACTTTCTCTCTTCTATTGTATCTTAATCCTTCTTTGCACTTCAGCCAAGTTGGTGTCTTCTCTGCTCCTTGAAATAAGAGGGAAGCCCCAAACTAAGGGCTTTTGCATCTGGAATTTCTTCTGTGTAGAATGATATTTACATAGCCCGGATTGGTTTGGCTCAGCAGCTAGAGCATGGGCCTGCTGACCGAAAGGTCACAGGTACGATTCCTGGCCAAGGACACATGCCTGGTTTTCAGGTGTGTCTCGACCCCCATGGGGTCATGCAGGAAGTAACCAATCGATGTGTTTCTCTCACATCAATATTTTTCTCCCTCTCTCTCCTTCCCTCCCTTCCACTGTATCTAAAAATCAATGAAAAAAAATATCCTGGAGTAAGGATTAACAAACAACAACAAAAAATGACGTTTCCATAGAGACTCACAGCTGATTTCTTTCTGGGCTTATGCAAATTCTTCTCCTTGTGAAGTCTTTTCTAGGAGCCTCCTCTGAAATTTCAACCTTTCATTTGAACACTTAACATCCTCTTTCCCAGTGTTGATTTTTCTTCTTACCACATATCACCTTCTAACACAACATGTATTTTCCTTAACTATTTTGTTTATCATCTATTTCTCTCGGTAGGATGTAAGCTCCATGGGGGCAGGGATTTCTCTCTGTTTTGTTCACTGTTATTTCATCAGAACCTAGAACAGTACTGGTCACAAAGCATGTTCCTAATAAATACTAGTTTAAGAAACCAACAGTAGACATTATTTTACATGGCAGCAGCTTATAAACCTGTTAAAGATGCCTTCTTCCTTGAAAAACTACACACTTTTTCTATTTTTCTGCTGTTTCACTGGCTCTTTCTTTCACTCCTTTTTTGTTTTGTTTTGTTTTGTTTTGGTTGTTTTGGTACGTGCCCCTAGCGGGAACCGAACCCGGGACTCTCTGGTTCCTAAACATCCCAGACTATTAATGCTGGAGTGTTTCAGTGTTGTGGGTTGAATTCTGTTCCCCGCCCCTCCCAAAATTTATATGTTGTAGTCTTAACTCCCAGTACCTCAGAATGTGACCTTATTTAGAGAGGTCTTACAGAGTTAATAAAATTAAAATGAGGTTATTAGCATGGGCCTTAATCCAATATGGCTAATGTCTTTCTAAAAACGAAAAGTTTGGAAACACACACACACAGACACACACGTGCACACACACACACACACATAAACAAGGACAACACCATGTGAAGATCAAGACAAAATTGAAGTGACTCTTCTATATACCAACGATGGCCAGGAAACTATAATAAATCAGAGAGATAAGATTCTCCCGACAGACCTTAGGAGGAACCAGCCCTGCGGACACCCTGATCTCAGACTCCTACCTCCAGAACTGTGAGACAATACATTTCTGTCGTTTAATCTCTGAGTCTATGGTGTGTTGTTATGGCAGCCTGAGTAAATGAGCACACCCAGGGGCAGGTGTCAAGATTCTTCTCCAGCTACATTCTGTCCCTTAGTGATCTCCTGACTTACGCCTTTAAATTTCTTTTATATACTAAAGTCTACCAACTGTTTCGCTCCAGCCCAATGTCTCCTCACAACTCCTCGCATACATCTTCAACTCTATTCAACATCAGCTTTAAAATGTCCAAATCTAAACTCATCTTGCTCTGGAATACCCTTCCTCCTATCTTTTTCATCTCAGTTATTAGCAACACTATCCTTCAAGATACTCAAGTGATTTACCTTGGAAACGTTCTGGACTTTTGTCTTTCATATCTCACACAAAATCAAACAATTCTATCTTTGACGTCACAAAAACTGTCTAATGGCTGGAACTTTAGCCAAAATGAGCTACTATTACATCATTTAAAGACTCAAAGCAACAGAAATTGTTTGCAATGATAATCAAATATCTTTATTTTCTATGTGTAATTTCTTACAATCATTTTGGAAAAATAGTGTCTCCAAACGTACTTTCACTGATAGAAGCTAGTATGACTAAAGCATTTTTTGAATGATTATGGAAAAAAATTATCACTAAAAAATAAATGTTCCCCGCAGTTTACATTCTACACATACTTTACACAAGAATAAAGACAAGGTCCAATGTCAGAAGTAGAGGCCATTCTTCTTCATTGAATCAACAGATCCAGAGAGAGCCTTTGGCATTTAGAGATCCAAATTTGTGAAATTTCTAATCCCACTCAAAATAAACATTGCTTATAAATATGAAAATGCACAACAGTTTTTTTAAAATTTACTTTTTATCTTGATTAGTATTCTCTTAGACATTTTGAGATTTATTTGACACAGCATTCTATCTGCTTAATATTCAAATTTGGGCACACTGATTATCTGCTCCCTCTTCTGAATAGTTAAGGAAGCTCTATAAATAAACACATCAATTTTACTCTGTTATTACCCTTCCTAAAAGCCTCATATAATTGGAATTAGCCTACTATTTTCTTACCATTAAATATATTTTTGTCAGAAAGGGTACACAGCATATGAAATTACAGGATTTTCACGCACTAAAGACAAGTATAAGAACTCTCAAATAATATTTGCAGTATAAACAACAAAGTTATTACATTAGCTTAAAATAAATCACAACATTCACAAAACAGTCTTTTATTTGGTTTTAATACTGAAGATGTTTTCTTGAATTACTTATGTAGAGCTCAAAATATAATTACTTCACCTATCACTTCTCTTCGAGAATCTGAAAAAGAAAGAATGGGTATGTGAGCATAACATATTTTTATTTATAGCATCTTAATTTCATTCACTTATCCACTCATTTGATAAACATCTATTTCTTTGCCTCTTGTTAACAGCTTGTGACAGGACGTCATGTTGTGTGATCTCAGGAGCGCATCTTCCAAAGAACTGATTGTCAGAAAGGACCTAGGAAGCGAAGGGGCTCTCTGATTAGTCATTAATAATTAATTTGTAATTTTCAGAGATTGTTGACCCACAAAGTTTTTTGTGAAAAAGAATTTGTCCAAAACTATACATTTACGAAAAAAAATATGGAAGATGAAATCTCATAAATAATCATACAATTTACAAAAGAAAGAGTGATTAAACCTTTTCTGTGTTTTATTGTGTGCTGTACTGTATAATTTACTGGTGAGGCCTTCTTTTTGTTTGTTTTTATCCGCACCGGAGGACATTTTCTTTTTTTGCATTTATCTTGAGGGAGAAAGGGAGGAAGAGAGAGAGAAACATCGATGTGAGAGAGACACATTGAGTGGTTGCCACCCACACGACCCCAACCAGGGCCGGGGACAAACTGCAACCGAGGTACATGCCCTTAAAGGGAACCGAACCCGGGTCTCTCTGGTCCACGGGCAGATGCTCCAACCGCTGAGCCAAACCGGCCAGGTTTTCTTCTTAACATTTTTCAAGAAGCTACATGGGATTACCTTTCTTTTTTGAGCAAAGGGACTCGTTTCTCTGAACTACCAATTAATGATCATGAATGGGGATGTGAAACACCCCTAACCAGTTATGTCTTTTAGAAGTGAAGGCTAATCAGTGGGTACAGGTAACCAACAACGCAGGTGTCTTCTCAGACACCCTCTCCACTACTGAGGACGCTCATGAACACCAGGAACTGAAGTGAGACAATGGATTACACTCATTCTGAGCCTGGGTCTACTTCATCTTCTTAACCTCTTCAGGTTAGCAGTCTAGAATACTTTCATGTTTTATAAATAAAGTTTTATTGTAACACAGCTACTCCCATTCATTTTACATATTGTCTGTGGCCAATTTCCTGCTACAGTTGCAGACATATTTTAAGCAGAAACTATATAGACCATAAAACCAAAAATATTTACTGCATAGCCTTTAGAGAAAAATTTTGCTAATCTCAAATACTGACGTTGTAAAATTTCTTTAAGCATTGCCAAATATTTTAAGTATGCTTTATGAGCTAATGTAAGCATTAATGTACTCAGGAATAAAAATATGCCTTGTATCTATGTATACATAAAAGTAATTTTGTTAACAACATATTATTTAATAAAGAAAATACAACTTGTGTTTTCTCTACTCAAAAAATCTTTTGTAGTGACTACTATTGGAGTCATAGAACCTACATTCACTTTATAGGTAAAAGATGCTGAATTTGACTTATGAGGCTTGCTATATTTCAAGGAATACAATTAGACCTAGAGTGCATTGTGTTTTCCTAATGTAATTTGGTGGTCTTTCCCTGTACTTAAATTAAATAAGATGCTAGCAGTCAACCATGGTACAAAACCTTAAATTAATAAAAGCATCCTGGCTTGATTCTCAATAAGAAAGCCAGTTTTTTTCTCATTAGTGTGAGTCAATCTTTTCCATTTTATATCTCAACAGAGGGATAGGAATATGTCTGGGTAAACAAGAAGGCACAAAACTGTTTACTCATTGTGATTTTTCTCTTTTGTGTAATCAGAACCCTGCATGAATCATGTTCAGCTGTTTTCTAGGCTGCAGCTCACTTCAGGTAGGAGTGTCATTGTTACATGAGGTCTCATTGTAAGAACTAAATATTCCTTCCAAGTGACTCTTACCTACTTAAATAATCAGATGATTACTATAAGAATATAAGAATGCACAGATATACCTACCACTGGGAAGTTGTCACCACTTTCCTCAAAGACCTTTCTCATCATTTTTCTAGCTCTTCGAAAATGTCAGGAGCTTCTCCCTCAACACTGCAGAGCAGAAAAGCAGATTGTGCATGTTAAGGCACTTTGATGGGAAAACCTCTAAAGGCAAGACCCGTGGCACCTCTGCGATTCTCCATGCCTGTAGTGCTCTGGGAGCTAAGTAATTATCCTTTAGGTTAGTTCTTACCTGTGAATTATTTTTCCATTTTAAAGTGTCTAAACTTGGTCTTACACAATTAAAATCTGGTGGCCAAAGAAAGGCATCTTGTATGACCTCATCCAACCAGGGTTGTCCGTAATAATCACTATCTAAGCAAAAATAATTGGAATAAAAAGAGAAAGTGCCCTACTTCTTATTTATTGTTCTTCAGTATCTATGCACCCCTGGCAGACACAGGTTTTATAGAATCTGAGAAGACAAAAATATCTCTTAGCTTAATTTGGTAGAATAAGGGAGTTGAAATGCTCATACAGGGAGTTCCATGTGATACCAAATTGCTAGTTCACTGTGCTTTACATGTTTTATAAATCTGCACTTGTGATAAAATCTGCTTCCAGAATCAGACTAGATGCCTCTAGAGTCATAATTTTTAACCTGCAGACACAACAGAATTAACTGGGGAGATTTTAAGAAATATCAATGTCTAGAGCCATATCCCTAGAGGCACTAAAATCCTGGAAATGACTTGGGGTAGAACCCAAACATAAGTATTTTTAAAATTCTCCGGGACAGTCTAGTTGTAGCCAAGATTGCAAGTTACCGCTTCAGAGTATAGATGGCGAGATGGAGAGACCTGTAAGGCTTCTATTCTACAATCTAAATGATTTCTCGTTTTAGCAAATGTGCTCCATCTTTACCTCCTCTTCCCATTCAGAATTGAGTTCAAATATTTCTTCACAGCCATTTGTTTTCGGAGGCGGGTATAGTTGTCAGTGAAGACTGCATCCGAATGGCGTTTGATCGGTCCCTGGTCTTCTGAGATGTCATTGCTGAGAAATGTGAGGGAAATGAAAGCAAAGATTTTTAATGAGAAATGATAAGTATACAAAGTTTCAATTTCCTTGGAGTCAGATAAGAATGAATTCTAACACCCAACTCATTTTCTATCCTGGAGATGCATAAGAAAATGCACCTAAGCCTAAGGATGGGAGAGTGAGAAATAATCCCACATGTGTTGGCACTTACTGGGGGTGTCTTAAGACAAGTTCAGTGCTAACTGAGCAAATACTTTATTAAAAAATAGAGGAACGTGTGAAGTTGTGTTCTGCTATGGGGTGGAAAAGTTCCTTATAAATAAATGCTTCTTCAGGAACTATGTCCCTTGAATAGTGCTATCTAAATATTCAGCTATTGGTCATTTAAAGAAAGAATCTTCCAGTGCTTGGTTTGAGCAGGAAGTTAAAAAACAAATACTATGATTAACCTTAACATTTGCTTCAAGGTACACATTTCATTTATTTTTTTACTGTGTCTACTTCAGTTTGATTGCAGATTTACAAATGTTGGCTACTAAAGGAAAATAAGTCTGTCTGGAGCCAGTGAGAATTTTGTTACTAGAAGCCCTATTTTCTTAATTCATGGACCTGGTATATTTTATTGAAGAATATAAATTATTTTCCAATTAATTTGCATGTCATCAAAATTATAAATGTGTAACAAAATCAGTAAATTATCAACAGTGTAAATATAATTCTCAGATTAAAATCATAATGTGTTTGATAAAATAATAATAATAGTAGTAATAATAATAAATTCTCTTTACCCAACTCGTTTTCCAACAAGGGACTCAAGGTATTTTTTGGCAGAAATTTGACCCAAGAGTCTACTATAGTCACTGGTGAAAACTCCATCAGCATGTCTGGCATTCCTAAAACAAGGGAGAAAGGATAGCCATTGTTTGAAAAATGGTTTCTAAAATGTTATTTTGTCTCAATTAATAAGAAAGAAAGTCTCCAGCTTATGAGAGCGTCTCAATAAAACTTAATTCCAAAAGGAGATATACTAATTATCTAATAAAATATATTTTCTTCTCACTTGTATCAAGATATATCCTATATTTTCAGCCCCAAATTTTGAAAAACAAATTTGCTTTTGTAGATGTGTGTCTCAATATTAAATAATGTTACCTGATATAATCTATAAAACTAATTCTTCTCTAAGAAATATTGGTGGGGAAAATATAATATTTAAATTGGTTTCTATTTATTTGTGGTGCTCCATTTCTCCTATCCTTAATAATGATAGCTACAAACAGTAACGATCCTGATTTGTCAATAAATAAATAAATAAATAAATAAATAAATAAATAAATAAAGCCAATGGTACCTTTTGCTATTTCTTTTGCCAAAATATTTAGAAACCAAATCTCTTAAAATTGAGAGAAACTTAGAATCTATCAACAAACTTTCTGTCCACATGAGGAAGCTTTTATTCTGTGTCGTCAGTAGAGAGCTGGTCTGTCTTTACTTCAATGCTGCTCTTGACAAATTGCTCTGTGATGAATAACTTTTAATATTAGACATCTTTTGTTTACATAGACACGAAACTCTTATTTTAGAACTTCCTCTAACCGGGAATCCTAAATGCTAAAGTTGTAATGGAATTGGTGCAGTTTCTGGTGTTGACCTTCTGTGCAACAGAACGCCAGTGAATGGCTCGTTCCTCCCGGCTGTTCCAGCCTCCACGTGAGAGTCACGTGCAGCTGCACAAGCTGCCATCAATCAGGCTCGGTGAAGCCATGACTCGTGGAAACCTCAGTGTGATGCTGTAGAAATAGCTTCATAGAGAAACAAAAATAAAGCACTGATATTCCAAAATTATGTTTTCTAAAGTACTACCTCATAGAAATGAACTCACCTGGATGCATCATAATAGGGTGTGTCATTTTCAGCTAATGTATTTTGCAAGATGTCAGTGTCTGCTTTTAATGAAGCTGGATCAGGTTCATTTGCTCCTTCATAGGGTATTCTGTCACCCAACCTGCTTTGAAAAAGTGTAATAGAAATATAATACATTCTTTTCTCAGGAGGTTGTGCTTATGTGTTTACAATAATTTTAAATCAGATACTCAGAATCTTGGGGAGTATCACCTATTTACAAAATATATATAGTATATCTGATTTACTGGCCTCTATGGTCTATGAGAGTGCAAATAAGAAAATTTTATTTATCCTGTAAAATATAACTTTTACAAGCTTTATATATCAGGTATGAGAAGGAGCTACTCAGTTTAGTCCTATCAGAGCATTAAGTAAAAAGTACACTTCCTTGGTACAATCTCATGTTGCAAAGTTACATTTCATAGGCATTTTGAAAACTTTTAGTATTCAGTATGAAAATTGGGATCAATTTGTATGTTCGTTGATGTTCGGTATCATGTGGCGTGATGTATTTCTCTGTACTGATCAAGTAAGAAGAGTCTCTACATCTCCGAATAGTTACTCAAATCCCATAAATTTTGTGGGGCCTCTGGCTTCTGATCTTATGTATTAATGTGTTTTAGTAAAGGATGTGCAATGCTTCACTGAAAGAATAGGAGTAGTTACACCTATGCATGGAACATGGCTACATTTATAAATGCATGCCCATTTTGAACACCCGTACACTATTAAAATTCCATGTGTGAGTATTTTCTCTGTTAGGGTAAACCTCCAAGGAATGTGTTGGCTCCTGGGCATTTGTGTATCTTTTGGGCATGTGGTTTTTGGTAGTCAGTAACAAGCAGCCCGCTTTGAGCATGAAATCTAGCAATCAATGCAAACTTTAGCATTCTTGTGACTGTTCATCTGTGATGATATAACCATTCAGCCAGAACCATTCTCTTTAGTTAGCAAAGCAACATAGATCTGGCTGTAAGCAGACTTCATGAAGAACACCAAGACTTATCTTTATTAAACATAAATCCACCTTGAGTAAAGAATTAAGAATGGAGACACAAGGAGAAAAAAATGATTTTTGCCCTTAGATATAGTGGTGCCTATAAACTGTAAAGTTTAAATTAATGTAGTTTTCATTTACTGTTTATTTCTTTAGATACAAATTTATTTCATTTCAGATAAAGCTTTAAATGAGTTGTATTATAATCTATGAATTTGAAATATAAAATACACACATAGAACAGTAAAAACTAAAGATTTATGGTCAACACTACATACATTAAAATTCACTCATTGGGCAAGGGCATCTCAGTAGAACAATTATTCCACAATTTTTAATATTATCAAATTAATTCTGCATAAATAGATCTCCCCAGCATGATTATATATTCATTTTACAATCAATACTAAACTTATGATTATTTACTGACTGATCTAAAAAATGAACTAAAATGAGGCACACAACCAAGCTTCTGTTTTTACATCAGGTACTAATCTGAACTGAGATGACACTGCATTAAAGCTCATTCCTTATCTAAAGCTGGTTTTGAATAAATGGAAAGTCAAATCTACTTTCCACCTTGTTTGGAAACGTGAACTGTCCCATCCATAAAACTAGCCGCTGACACTGTCTCTCATGTCCTACGAGTGAATGCCAGGGCTCAGAACCTGAGGCTGAAAAAACTTACTTAACACATCAACCACATATGTAAATAAATAATACATAATTTAAAAATATTGACTTGTCCAAAATACCAGAGAGAAAGTTCTGATGAAGGTGAAGAAGGAATGTTCAGCTGTCTGGATTGAATGAGCACTTACCTCAAGGCGGAAGGGGCTCCGAAGAGAGGCCACGCCAACGTCTGCGAGAAGAGCAGGCTGAGGAGGACCAGGAGCACGAGCAGCTGGGGCTTCCTGCTGGTGTCCATCTCTGCACCTGGAAAGGGAGAGAGTCGCATCAGACTTTCCATCCACAGATCTCAACAGCAAGGGCATTCTGAGTGTCTAGCAAATTCTGAAGGCTCTTACAGAGAGTTTAGAAAAAGTAATCTTCATTTTATAGAAACAGTTACACTGTAATATCATTACTTTTTAAATCAAGAGGATTTCTCCTGGTGACAGGTGCTTGAATAAAAATTAGGATCCTTTTCAACTGCTGCCTGTCTTGCACAGGCCACAGAGTTGGCCCAAGTATGTATTGAATGGCTTACTCGTATGGTGCTGGACATAACCCTGGAGACCACCTCCTGTGACAAAGCTGTAACATCCAATTTTAGTCTTTTCTAGCTAAGAAAAAAACTACCAAAAAAATTATTGTTTTTTTCCTACTTTAAGTTTCTGGATCTCATTAATATAAAATTAGATTATTACACATTTAATAATGTACATGTACATATAAATGTATATATCTAACAGTATACAATTATTTTGTATATACATCTTTTTCCTTTTTAATAGTGGATGTTACTGGTGATGTTCTTCCTTAAGCCTAAGTTTGAACAACTTAATGCAGTTAATGGTGAAAATTAGTACCAAAAAAGATTGTTAACCACTATCACCATTGAAATAATTTTTGCCACAAAAGAAAAATATATTAAAAACACTGTGTTTTTTAAAACATTTAATCCACTTACATATTTTATTTCTAATTAGTTTCTAGATAGAAACTTAGGATTTCAAGGTCTGTATTCTTGCTGTCTATAAAAATCACAGGATTTAAATTTACAATAAAGAGGAAAATAAATGTTTCCATATTCACATAACCAACAAACATATAACAATGAAAGAACAGCACTTGAAAAACAAGTTTAAAACTTCAAAAACAAATGTACCCACTGAACCTTTCAGCCAAAAATTTATATACAGAAAGAAAAAAACCTACTTGAATGTATTATTTAAAAAAACAGTCTTGAGTAAAAGGGGAAGCAGGAAAGAAAGAATTAACCAAAAGAATTAAGAAAATTCATTCATATGTGAGAAGTTGAGGCAGGTGGCTGGGAAACTTGTCTTTTTGTTGTTATAAAGAACACTAAAATGTTTTTCCCCAAAGAGAAAAATATTTACTATACCCCGAGAAAAGTTCCAGAGGCAGGGAGACATAAAAACAAAAAAAGAAAGTCAAGTGTTCACTTACCTTGCCTGGGAGTGTTTCTGGAGAGCGTCTGTTGTGCAGAATGTGGGAACTGTCTCAGGTGCTGAAGTCCCGTGAGGCCGAGAAAGGCCCACCAGTTCTCTGTCAGAGCTGAACCAGAACTGGCTAAGGGTTATGCCAGCAGCTGCTTTCCCTCTATCCTGACCAGCATTTCAAAGCCCTTCGTTTTATAGGGCTTGTACTTAGGGCTGAGCAACCACAAAGCTCTGAAAGACGTCACAGCAGTTCTCCCACAGGATGAGCAGGGCTTGAAATTCTTACCTAATTGCCATTATTTCTGATTTATATATAGTGAGTAATTTCAAGACACAAAGTAGAGGAAATTTTAAACAACAAAGCCACCAAGTTTTATGTGAAATGTTTTCATCTTTAATTAGCAGTAATGATATAAGCAAATGAATTTGCATTATAGCCAGGGCCACTGAGGTTCCTTCAGAATATAAGTTTTTTATGTTTAGAAATAGATTTAAAAAGCGACAAACACTTATACTCATTATGCTTACAAATGTACAATTCTCTTTTATCACAAAGCATCGATTCTTCTAAAACCTTTATTTTATTTTTATGCTATCCATGTAGATCCTAATGTATGCAATCTGTCTTGATATTTATCCAAGTTTTAAAAGCATCTAGAAGTGATTTTCTATCTTTTTATTATTATATTTCTTTTATGTTGAAACTAATCCCAGTATAAGAGCATCAGAAAGGCTCCACCCCAGTACAGTAAGCACACTGTAGTAAAACGTGGTAGGAGCACTGCTGTCTGACTTCCCTGTAGAATATCATCAGTCCAAAGGCACATTCCCATATGTAATCTCCAATGATTCAAAAACTAAATTGTCAGACTTCAGACTGTATACCTTGAGGGATTTAATTTTTTTTTCTTTTTCAAATTTATACTCATCAGCTTTAGAAATGTTTGCCCTACACAGAATTACCATGCCTCTCCCCCTTTCTCAAACACACCCTCTCAACCACACCAAGTTTGAACGTCTCCAACTCAATCCTTGACAGGTGGTTGCAGAGAACTAGTCGGAAAACGCCGGTGGAGGGCCGTGCCTTGGTCAACACTTAATTTCTACTTGTGGGGTATTCAAAGCAGCTGAGCATACATTAAACCAGAGTGTAGGGTAAAAATACAGCCACTTGAACAAATTAATGGACAAAAACTAAAATTCTATCTTTATTTTTTAAAATGACCAGTGCATGTATTCTTTTACAGTTTTGTTCTTAAGTTCCTCAAGGGAGAAGGAGAAGGACTCTAAAGACACATTCTTTCTTGTACTTTAAGATCTTAGTGTCTATTTGCTCAGTTCAAAGTCAGGCTGATCCAGTAAGAGAATATCCTGCTACGCGAATCATACTTTCTAATCCAGTTACAAGAAAAATTAAATGAATTAAATTTCAAAATGTCTGGAAATTTGTTTCCCAGTTGACAGCTCTGATTTAAGCCAGAGTTCCTGTGGCTTAATTCCAGGAAATATTTTTTTAACTTGATTATTACAAACGAGAGATTGAAATGATTCTCATATGGAATTATTTTCCTCCTTAGCTCTTTGTCACCCAATTCTCAGTGAGGCGATTTTATGTAAAAACACAAACAGCAAAGTAAATTGGTTGAGAGTCACAGAAAAACTGACGCTGAATGAGAAGCAGAAAGTTCTAAAAGAAAAAAAAGATATATAAAGGTGATTATTATTTTATCAAAGGAAGTATGTATTGTTAACAAAATTAACCACTGGGTTTTTCTAATGATAAGGACAGTTTCTCCCGTTATAATAATAAAACACAAAAGTAAAGAGAGTAAAATTTTTTTCAACTTCTGGGTAAAAACAAACTAAAGAACTGTTTTTGTCCTATGAATTTAAATTAGAAAGCAAAATTGAATTTTAAAATGGGATCATAGCACCATCTGCAGGTTCAAAGTCTTAATCGACAGATTTTTTTTTTAAATGTGTTTCTTCTCTTTGTAGTCAAAGAAAAAATGCAAGCCAGAGTTCCTTTAATCTGATACATTATGGACACCTACAGAAAAATAAGCATAAGAAAAATATGTATTTGAATTTATTCTAAATGCTTTACTATGAAACTCAGCAAATAATAAAATACAAATGTGAATTTACTGTTTAAATCTGCTTTTTCACAACTTTGACATATCTTTCAATAAGTTTCACACATCTTTATCCAAATTTACTTTCTACCTTAAGGCTTCTCGGTAAAGTGATGTTTATAAGAAGAACAATCATTCTTTCAATCTGTTAAAACAAATTCCAAATTCTTATACAGATAAATAAATTCATGTCCAGAGACTGTAAGTGATCTTTGCAAGCTCACGCTGGTGGTTAATTACAAATTGGGACGGGAAGCTCGATCTTTGATCTTCATTTATCTTTCTTTCCTCAAGAACGGGTGGTTTTCTGTAACTGTCTCATCATCACTGTTGATGCTAACAGGTCAGATAAGGAAAACAAAAGCACATGAAAATATTGGCATCTCCCCTCTCCCTTTCTCATCAACAGGACCAAAGCAGAGAAATAAAACTGGCATTCTAACCCTATACTGAATGTATGGAAATCAGATGAAAGAAATTTTCAAGCTCAGGAGTCAGGCAGACACCCAGATCCATCCTTTTTACCTCGGTATGAAGAGTCAATAAAGATCCTTATTGTTCTTACAGATGAAATGCCTCAGAGGTGCTCTTTGTCTGCTGGCCTCATCCTAACTCACACTCAGCCTGAGATCTTTCCTCTCGCTCAGGGTCATCCTGAGAGGTTAGTTCTAGACAGAGGTCTGCAAACTGCTGGCCACGAACCACATACAGCTCAGCTCTCTGGTTTGTATAGCTCTCAAGCTATGAATGATGTTTATATTTTTAAGACTATAAAAAAATAAAAAGTCAAGTAATATTTTGTTACATAGATATTATATGGAAGTTAAATTCCAGTGCCCTTAAATAAAGTTTTATTGGACACGGAAATGTTTATCATATAAGTATTGTCTGTGGCAGCTGTTGTGTTACAGTGGCCAAGTTTAGTAGTTGTGACAAAGACTATAGCCTGCAAAGTTTAGAATGCCTACTATTTGGCCCTTCAGAGAAAACTGTCAAGATCTCATCTAGAGCCTCCCATTTGGGAATGTATTTAAGAAGTGATGTTTAACCCTAGCCTGGGGGGCTCCCTCGGCTGGGTGTTGCCTGTGTACCAAGGGGCTGCCAGTTCAATTCCAGGTCAGGGCACATGCCCTGGTTGTGGGCTTGATCACTGATAGGGGGTGTACAGGAGGCAGCCAATCAAAGTAGTCATGTTCACCTTAATAGTCTTAATTTCTATAGCTTGCAAAACATGTAGTAAGAAATATATGCATATATATGTATTTTTAATATACATTATGTATAGATAGCAAAATATGTGCACATGTTTGTACTAACATGTATATATGTGTGTATATATGTGTGTGTGTATATATATTTATACTTTTAATATTGAAAAAATATATATACATATGCCTGTATATATATTTGTATGGTATATTAAGAGGAGTTACTAGTATGTATATTACAATATATTATACTTTTAATCCCTTCAACTTAGAAAATCTGGATTTCCTTCCAGGATTCTTGTATTCTCATATAGATGATTTGATGAAAATAATGTTATGACAAAGGTCAGTTTTTTTAAAGTTACCTACTCCAGTTCATTCTGGATGCTAAAAGAGGTTTATTGATATTAAACAATTGTATACATAGTGATTTAAATGGTATAATAGCAAATGATCTCTCTAG